CCCCCCCCCGCTTCTGCTGGAAGAAGCTTGATAAAAAGTATGGACCAACCGGCAATGACATTGCATTCTATTTCTAGGTAGTGTACTTTGATTAAAGAGAAAATGCAGTTTACAACATGACATAAATGAGTATGTAAGAGAGAATTGTTTTCCTTGTGCAGCGTGGGTTAGCACCAGGTTGTCTACTTGAGCACATGGCCAAAGCCTGTCAAGCATGTGCGACATAAAAGTGACCTTAAAAAAGTTTGTCGAGACTCGATGCAGGTGAAAAGCTCGAGTCAGATGACACTCAAGGCAGTCTCCTCACACCGCCTCAGATAAATTCCCAAGCGATACAGTACCGAGATTTATTTTCAAGTCATGTGATTGAAATGGAAGCGGAAAGCAGTCGAACAGACAGACATAGAAAAAACACAGCTTTCAAACAACGGCGTTGATTATGGCGCCTTTCCAAAACATTTTTTTTTTTTTTTTTACTTTTTGGGGACCAGAAAGCCTGAAAAATATGTGATTTCTACACAGAGTGGCTCTTATCATGGTATTCAAATCAGTTCACAGCGATTCAACGACTCTCTAGTTTTACTCAGACAGCAGGAGACAGAGCACTAAATTGACTTTGAACTCGACTATTTTGGAAGGGAACGTTAATCTAATCTCCGTTATTAACAGATTTGATATATATTCTCAATGAAAATGTATGTGAAAATTCTCATCTCTCCTTTTATTATTTATAATTTTATCTGTGGTTTTATTGTTCTTGTTTTGATTGTAAAGTGTCCTTGAGTGTTTTGAAAGGCGCTTATAAATGTAATGTATTATTGTTATTATAAAAATATTTCTAATTTCTGCAGGTATGCATGTCTAAGTGCGTCAATTATTTTCTTATTGTTCACTGACTGCCGATTTGTAAAGCAATATCCAAGTTAATCATCTGTCGGGCTGGTGATGCAACGTTCGCTCAAATCTCCTTCATGCCTTGAAAGACATCAGAAAACTTTTGGGGGAAAGTCAGAGAGACAGCCCAGCCACATGTTTAACTTGTTCAACCAGGAAGTGCGAGAGAGTCGGTTTCCGTTTTTGCAAACGTCTTTCTGTCTCTCTCAGTGTTATTCAAAATCAAGCAACAATACCAGCAAAGGACATCTCACACCTTTTGGACATACGACACGTTCTGTCGTGATTTGTTGATGAGTGTGAGTGTAGTGATTCGTTTTCTTTGAATATGCAGACAGAAACGTAGCCGGTTAAGGATGGTAACATAAACGTACGTTTGAAAATGTCATGAGGCATGATCAATTGAGGGTCCATATTCTCATTTTTCTTACCAAATGAATATATGACTGGTAATCTTCAAAAAAAGGCACTTAACTTTTGAAATGTGAAAGGATTAATTTACAAATAGACACGACTCGCAAAGAGTTAGGGATATTTGGCTTCCAAGTGAAATCTATGCAAGATGTAAAAAGTTCACGCTAAAGTGCTATCATATCATGAAAGTAGGACAAAAGTTAACAATGGTGGGTACACCACAACAAAAAAATTCAACGTCTCAATCACTCGTCACGAGTTTGCGACTTTGATTAGCTGGGGGATTGTCGTCCTTCAAGACGAAATTCGGCCCGTGTTGTTCATGTAGGGGCACAATCACTGGATTCATGTTATTCAGGTAGTTTGGGCTTGTCACCAAGTGTAGGGCAGTTCTGTACCGAATGGACACACCAGCCCACACTGTAACACCGCCACCACCAAAAGATCATCTGGTGACAACAGTGGCTGAGGCATAGCGCTCTTGTTGTCGTCTCCAACATGGTTCCCGGTGGTGTAGTCGGGTACCCTTGCAGGGCATCTCACACGCAGACTACACTGATGTAAACATTTTCCAAAGGTCTGACGTGATACTTGGGTGCCTCTCACCTCCCTTAAACATGACTGGAGTTGGGTGGCATTCATCGTTTGGTTTCTCAGGGCATGGGATGTGGCCAAAGGATGTCCACTTCTACATCTTTCTGTGACTCTTCCAGTCTCTCAGTATCTCTCTTGTACCCTGCTGATGATATTCTAAGTGCGGTGGCCACTTCCCTCGAAGAGTGTCCTGTTTGAAGCATCACAATCGCAAGGTACTGATCCATTGTTAGGTCTTGTCTTGGTCTCATGACGTCAAAATGTGAACCGCATCATGAGGACGACTGACACCAGCTCTAGTTGAACCAGGACGTTTATTGGGCGATTCCAGGACCAAACGCCTGTTGTGAATTTTGCCGTTATGCTGCTCATGAGAGAACAACAACTTGTGCAAAATGTACTGAAACACTTAACCGTTGGACATGTGCATTCAAAAGCTTAGAAAAGGTCGCATCAAGTTCACCTGGAAAGGTTTGAATGCATTTTAGTGTCGTCCTGTAATTTTTACCCAAAAACCAAATATCCTTCACTCTTTACGAGTAGTGTATATCTAAATAATGCATTTTTACCCTTTGTATGTCAGTTGTTTTGTGAGTCAAGGGAAACATATCTATTAAGTGGAGTCTTTTCAAAGGTTTTTACGATATTGGCTATGGAAAACGTGAGAAAACAAAAACAAAATGTAATTATCTTAATTGTTGCGTATTTCAAAAGACTTTGTTGGTCTTGCAGCTGGATGAAATCTTCAATCAAAATGATTAGACATACTACACGTTCTGTCGTGATTTGTTGATGAGTGATTGGTAGTGATTCGTTTTCTTTGAATATGCAGGCAGAAACGTAGCCGGTTCAGGAACTGGCAAAAGCATAACGAGTACGGCATTGCTCAGCAACAATGGTAACATAAATGTACATTTGAAAATGTCATGAGGCATGATCAATTGAGGGTCCATATTCTCATTTTTCTTACCATTTGAATATATGACTGGAAATCTTCAAAAAAAAGTATTATATATATATATATATATATATATATATAAAATCATCTAGTGTTTGTAATGATTCTAGATACGGTTCACCTGGTGGTGATGTCCATTTAAGGTTGCATCCGACTGGTCAACTCCAGACAAACGCATACAATTCCATATGAAACTTATTGCACGTCTTTGCAATACGCATATTACACGTGCCATTATCGCGATGATGATACATTGTGCAGCCCTAATTGTCTGTCTGTCTGTCTGTCTATCCATCCATCTCTCACTTTATTCAAATGATTAAATCATGATGAAATTATGAAATTATTCGCTCACCAGCCTTGACTTGCATATGAACTCAAATGGCCATTCATTGAAGGTGCAATTTATAATCCGTCAGCACCTTATAGTGCAGAAAATACGGTCATCCTCAAGTCATTCCAACTGTACCTCAGTAACGTGAAACTGAGTAATCTAAGCCCGTGATGTTATGACAACTCCTGTTCTTTGTTTTATCCCAATAGTGTTCACTCCCTGGTCTGTCGAAGAGCAGATTTTAGCGTCTCAACAACTTCCAAAATGAAATGAATATGTCGAGAAAAAACAGGGACGAAAAAGTGTCGCTGAAAAATGTAGCTGCCTCTAACTGCCAATCCTATTTCATCATAGGTGGTTATTCTTTCACTTACATCATGAGACTGCTTACAAAGTCGAACAAAATGGAACATTACATTCATACTGTGAAGCAAAACGGCTCAGTAGAAATGACGTTTGGATTTGAAGTGAAGGGAAGCAAGCAGCAGGTCACTGATGGTGTCGTGGTTCACTTGCCTTACTTCAGCGCAGGCAGCGTGGGGTCCGTTCCCCCTAGGTGGCGGTGTAAATGTGAGTGTCAACGGTTGTCAGTCTTTATACGTGTCCTGTGATTGACTGGCGACCAGTCCTAGGCCTAGTCTGCCTTTTGCCCTAAGATCAGCTCAGCTTGAATAGGCTCCAGCTCCCAGATAAAAGTAAATGGACGGATGCATGAGGCAGGCAACCAAACATACATTCATCTCAGTTAAATTTTCTATGTTGGCAAATCCAGTACTATGGCACAAAATCCTGGATAGAGTTACTTTTTTCCTCAGCTCTATTGGTTTTGGCTAGCTAATTTATTCTGAGTAGGATTTTGAGCCCTCTGTACTACCTACAGTAGAAGAAATGGAGACGAGGGTGTAAAACTGAAAGAAATGCAAGCCTGACATGCATTTCAATTAGCTAACACGATATAAGGGAAAACTCGGATTTCAAATAACTTTTTGCACTGGAGAAAATCGTTGTCAAACTACGGCAGGTATCATTCTGATTTGATTTGCTGAAAACGTAAACACATTGACGAGAATACTAAATGGGACCATCCAAGGAAACATGGCGATTAGCGCATTCATTCCAGAGGCCAACATTTATAAATACGGATTTTGGATGGATTGTCGCCGAGATTGAAATGAATATTGAAGTGTTTGATCTTCATTCATCGTCATAAGAAAATGTAGAAAACTCATCATAAATGGTTGAATTGCCCACTGGTTGAACAGGGTGCACCACATCGAAATACTAAAATGCAGTTCTCCCCATCTCAGCAGATAATCCAAGCAATTATTGTTTTAAAATGTGTCGCCATACAATCTATTTTGACCTTCATTTGTGTGGATTTTTTCAGAGGAAGGTGGCATGGTCTAGTTCTACGTTGTCCATACAAGCCAAAATAGCCTTCTGGTCCTCTCGAAGGGGCCGGCGGTACAGCAGAGCAGAGAAGCGAGTGTAGGGATCATGGAGGACAAGCCGTTTCTTTTTCCTGTGGAGGTAGAGCGCTTCTTCGGGCTGAAGTACCTGAGTGATGTGGGCCTGCCGGGTCTGAGAGGTGGACACACCTGGAAGAGGAAACATATTCAATGGTTTACAGCCACAACGTCTGATGTGAGAAACTGTTTTCCAAGCTCATACAGTTCGGTTGCGTTCGCTGTTACGGTGTTTGTTTTTTGTCATCTTATACTCACATGACGCTGTACAGTTGTGTATGTACAGGTCATATACACCCGCATATACCCACATAGATATTCACGCTTAATGTACCCCTACAATACATATAATACATGCAGCATAGTCCTATATATGAGGCATTCATAACACAGTGGTACCTCTATTTATGAAATTAATTGGTTCTGGAAGAAATTTCTTAACTAGAGAATGTTGTAAGTAGAGACGCATTTTCCATGTAAATGCCCTAATCTGTCCCCCCCAAAATAAACAGGTTTTCTAAAGCATACATGTTACAATTAGATTATTGCACAATAAATGAGAGTTGTGCATAATGTAAAAAACAAAGAAAAAAGAATAAAAATGATGGTTATTTAACTTTTGACTGCGTCCTCATCATTTTTTTTGCCCTCTTTAGTTCATGTTCTCTCTCAGAAGGGGTTTTTCCCTGCCTTTTTGGAAAGAACTGATCCAAGGACGTTTGCTTTTGTCAGCTTTTAACAATCCTTCGAAAATGTCCAAGGCAAACATCAGCATAGTGAGCGATCGCCTGACTGGCGAACACTTTTTCGGGGTGATTCACATTTACGTAATTCTATCGGAACGGCCTCATGACCTAAGGAGCGAGTGACGAGGACACTGCATAGACACAGATCTATCTGTCTACACACATAGACTCATACAGTAGAGGTCCCTTTTAGCCAATGGGATGTCAGGAAGATGCTAGGTAATAGCCAATGGCAGAACAGCTATAAGTATGTTGCGTTCAGTAAACTCGGAGCTGCGAGTAGCAGGCCAAATTGTAGTTTTACCTTTCGTATCTTGAAATTACTTTCGTAACAAGAGGCAATACTTTCCTGTTGAGGCGTTTCGTCCCTTGAAAATTTCGTATGAAGAGACGTTCGTAAGTAGAGGTACCACTGTATACTTATGTTAGAGTAATATACACCACACCATAGCAATACATGATTCATTTAAGATTGTGTGACCTTTTGATATGATTTTTATCACTGGAAATGCGCATGCCTCGTCAAGTAGAGTGTCTTATCGGTAGGCCTCGTCAAGTGGAGTGTCTTATCGGTAGGCTCTCTTCTCGTCTCTCTCATTTTGTAAATTTGTTGCAAGTTAACAGGGAGCTTATCGTTTGTCCTTTTCAATGGTTGTGCACGCCATGATGATGTCAATTGTAAAGGACATGGTCAATAAACGATATTAAGGGTAGGTTTGCAGGAAGACAGCAATTCATATGTTTTATCTAACCCCCCAAAATTGGATTTGCTTTATTAACCTTGGAAGATTAATCCAGGTTTGTGACCAAGATCATTGCCAACATTCAAGGGAATAAAATGGCAGGCTCCAACAAGGGTTTCGTCAACTTGAACAAAGGCCTCATAGTAGGGAAGAAAATGTTCAAATTTGCATGACAGCATTTTCCTGCAGCTGAAGTCACCACGGTACTGTTTCTTTTATATTCCCAAGTTTATCATGAAAAGTTCTGAGGGACCTTTTCCTTGGTTCTTTGGTCTTTAACCCTTTCAGGGACAGCGGTTACTACAGTGGACAGTTTATCATGTTGTCAGGTTACAGGGCGCATGAAAGGGTTTATGATCGCAATATTACAGGCGACGTTCAGAAGACTCCACATTCTCAGTTGAACTATTTTTGCCAGAAAGACGAAGAGATAGTTCTGGACTGCCGGCAGGCCAGTCTCGTACCTGCATTCTGTCATGGTTTGGCCTGTGTTTTATTTTTTGTTTCAGTTCCGGCTAGAGTGGAGGGTGTTCCCTCCAGCGGACCACCTGTTACAATCGCTGGGATATAAAAGGACTCTGACTACAGCTGTGCTTCGTCAGATTATTCACATTGCTCGCTTGTTATGCCTCAAGTGTTGTTTTCCTAGACCTCTTGTCCATGCTCATAGTTTGCTCTCGTCCGTATTGATCTCGCTTCGTATTTTCAGTTTTGTGATGATTCCATCTCAGTTTTGTTTTTGCGTGATTGAATTCTCTTGGTCTTTCGTTTCTAGTATTTCTGGGTGTAATTTTTACCTTGCCTTTTGCAAGCGTTTTTTTTTTTGTTTCTGCCGTGTTTTCCTCACTCTTTGTTTGTAATTTGCCAGTTCTCCAGTTTTCTGTAAATTAACATTTCAGCGTCACATTTTATCCTCTGAAGGCCCACTGTATGCCCTTGATTTTGAAGGGTAACAAATCATGTTCAAAATATGTTGCCAACATACCTGCTTTCCTCCTAGTCTTGGAATTATTGTTATTCATTGTCATCTTCTTAGCCTTTCTAATACGTTGGTATCTCAGAGCATCAATCCTCTCAGACCCCGAACGAACACTCGGTGCACCTCGACGTTTTCTAAATAAGGAGAACAAAGAGGAAAAAGGGGTAACTCCATGCCAAATATTTTCAAGGAAATATAATTGGACACTAACTCTAAGTCAGTCCTGCTTGATCCATGCAAGAGGTGGAACACAATGTTCAAGGATCAACATGGGACACTTCAAGGTGCTGTCTTCCAAAACATTTTTTTGATTCCATGCACTACATTATTTGAGAAATTTTTAACAACCTTAAACATTGTTGGGAATAAAAATGGGACTCATTCGATCAATACATATTTTGATGATTTGATCCAATGAAATCTCCATATAAAACTGATATTTTTCATTTTAGGGCATATACGCTAAGTGATAAATGTAACATTTAAATGAATCTGACATTTGATGAGCACTGCAATCACAAACTGAATGTCTATGCCTTTTACGTGAATATTTCCTCCTCTGAAAAAAAATAGATGCAAATGCTCCTTTGATGTAGCTTGTCAACGGCTGTTGCTTGTATCAAAATGTATCGCTCGCTCTCTCTTTGTGAAGGCACTTATGTCTTGGTAGCCCAGAAATTTCTGCCAATCACACACCGGCAGCCTATTTCTACGTCTTGAAGCACAGAAAACAATTAGCATTTACAGGGAGGGGGGGAGATGGGCATCTTTCCACACTGGCTGCAGAGAGAAACCGAGGATCATTAGAACAGGAAGGAAAACCACAGCTGAGCAACAAAGCATTGTCGATATGTATTCATAGACATGGAAACTGTCTACAATGGGCTTCACCATGCTGACAGGGGGAGAGATGGCTGGAGGGGAAATGACTACGCGGGAACAGTCACATCATGAAAAATAAGCCAAAGAAAAGCGAAGCACTAGGACAAGAAATGTAACAAGAATTAATCAATAGAATTGTTTGTTGTTGGGGTTTTTTTGGAAACGGAGGAGGATTTAGCAATGGCATGCATGGCAGTTTGCACATGGAACAGAACTTTAAAGGGGAATACATTCCAAAGCTTTGATTCTCCATACAGATGCTTTACAAGTTTTAAGGCAGTGTACGCAAATGGGATTATCAAAAATACAAAATGTGAAAAGCGTTATATTTGTAATGTACTTGTTGATCAGTTTGCTTTTTCATTGGAATCCCTCCTGGGCGCCTCCCTGGTGAGATGTGCCAGGCGCGTCCCACTTGCAGGAGGCCCCGGGGACCACCCAGGACACGATGGAGAGACTGTATTTCCCTATTGGGAATGCCTTAGGATCCCCCAGGAAGAGATGGACGAAGTGGCTGGGGAAAGGGAAGTGTTGGATTCCCGGTAAAGCTCCTGACCCCGCCACCTGACCCCGGCGAAGTGGAAGAAAACGGATGGATGGATAAATGGATGCTTTTCAATGACGAGAGCTTGAGTTCCCAAAACTGTCAATCTTAAATGGACGCTCGTTAAAGATCATAAATCTGCCCACTGTGAATTGTGGCTCCAAGTGGTAACACAGCTGAATGTTACAACACATGTACTGGATTAAAAATATTTTTATTTGGAATCATACAAAAAAAGCACACATAAGTAATTGGTGGAAAAAGGTGACACGTGACCTTGCAATAACCACTAGGGAAGCAAATTTTATTTTGAAAAAGTAGCAATGGAGATATTGCGTTTCGTCGCTATTCTGCAGTTCAGTTATTGCGGATTCACTCGATTGTGGATTTGTGAGCACAACTTCATGTATATCGTGTATGTTTTACCTTGCTATTTTGGGCATTTAGCAGCTATTTGGAATCCCATTCCCTTTACATGGGACCAATTAAAAATGTCATTTTTTTGGAAGGGAAACCACCACCATGAACATTACACAGCTCGTTGCCTATGATCAGGAGCTGGGTATTTACTGGACAACGTAGGTGTCAAACTCAAGGCCCGGGGGTGAGATCGGGCCCGCCATGTCATTTAATGTGGCCCGCCAAAGCAAATCATGGCTGCCAACTTTCATGAACCTTGTTAAAATGTGTACCAAAATGTCAAATCATCACGTGCAATAAATTATCTTCAGATTTTGCAATAATTTTGTTCCGCTGTTCACACACACTTGAACAAGCTATTACAGTTTACTTGACTGAGCGTAATCCATCAATCATTTGTTGTGTACAAATAATGAGACCGATGTGACAATTAAACATTTAGTGTCACTGTCAGACCGGCTCTCCAAGGGAAGCCGTCACTCCATAGTGGCCCGCGACAAAAATGAGTTTGACACACCTGTTCTACAATTTGTATTTCAAAAAGTTAAATTTATTCAGTGTAACAAGTGTTTACAACGGTGGTAACTGTGTATGTGTGTGGGTGGGGAGGTCTTAATAGACGTGTGTTAAAAAAAAGTCAACTTCTACTTTGAAGAAATTCACCAATTGCGGACTTGGAACATATTACCTGTGAAAAGAGATGGGCCACTGTAAAGTGCTTGATATTTAGAAATAACGCTGCATTATTACTGTTTTTGTTTATTCAGTAAAGTGATTTTTCATGATCATGTTTTTGCGATTCCTTCAGTGTGCACACGTGCTGCTTATTATTATCAGTCATGTATATTTAAGGACTGACAAACTGCCTGCAGTTTGTTGGATTATTTTGACCCTGTTGCTGCTCTTGCTCAAGTGATTGTTTTCTAGACCTCTTTCTCTCATCATAGTCGTTGTTCCCTTAGTTTCAGGTTTTTGTAAGTTTAGTCTTTGTATCGTCATTTTACCTTGCTTTTGTTTGTTCGTGTGAATAGGACTCTTGTCATTTCATTTGGTATTCTCGGTCTATTTTCTTATGACTATTTTATTGCCTTTTGCAAGCACCATTTATTAATGTATTGTTTTTCCTGTTTCTTGTTGTGACCTGTGATTTCTGTGTATACTTTGTCGGCACGCTTTTGTTCTTGTAAATAAATAGTTATGTCACAGAGTTTTGTACAGTGTCTATGTTTCTGGGATCCTAAACATTATTCGGTCTGTTTCGGACCTGACATGATTTAAGCAGGAGCAGTCTCAGTCACCCCTCCGTGAGCCGTCACCTTACCGTGGTGTAGGGGTTTGTGTGTCCAAATGATCCTAGGGGCTAAGTTGTCTGGGGCTTTATGCCCCTGGCAGGGTCACCCATGGCAAACAGGTCCTAGGTGAGGGACCAGACGAAGCACGGCTCAAAAGATCCATTATAATGAGTTTAATATATGGACTTGAGTTTCCCTTGCCCAGACGCGGGTCACTGGAGCCCCCCTCTGGAGCCAGGCCTGGAGGTGGGGCTTGTTGGCGAGCGCCTGGTGGACAGGCCTACACCCATGGGGCCTCACTGGGCTTAGCCCGAAAAGGCAACTTGGGTCCCACTTCCCATGGGCTCACCACCTATGGGAGGGCATTGAGTCCGAGCGGCCCATGTTCCGTGACTCTATCGTTGAGGCGGCCAGCCTGATGCAGCTTCAGCGGTCGCCAAGGCAAAAACTCAGGCGTGCGAAGAGTTCAGTGAGGCCATGGAAGCCAATTTCCAGACGGCTTCGAGGAAATTCTGGTCCACCATCCAACGTCTCAGGAGGAGGAAGCAGTGCACCATTAACACTGTATAGTGGGGATGGGGCGCTGCTGACCTCAACTCGGGACGTTGTGAGTCGGTGGGCACAGTACTTCGAAGACCTCCTCAACTCCACCAACACGCCTTCCTTAGAGGAAGCAGATTCTGGGGACTCTGAGGTGGGCTCTCCTATCTCTGTGGTTAAAAAGCTCCTTGGTGGCAAAGCCCCAAGGGTGGATGAGATCAGCCCGGAGTTCCTCAAGGCTCTGGATGTTGTGGGGCTGGCCTGGTTGACACGCTTCTGCAACATCGTGTGGTCATCGGGGAAAGTGCCTCTGGATTGGCAGACCGGGGTGGTGGTCCCTCCCTCTTTTTAAAAAGATGGACTGGAGGGTGTGTTCCGACTACAGAGGGATCACACTCCTCAGCCTCCCTCATAAAGTCTATTGAGGGGTGCTGGAGAGGAAGGTCCATCGGGAAGTTGAGCCTAAGATTCAGGAGGAGCAGTGTGGTTTTGGTCCCGGCCGTGGAACATTGGACCAGCTCTACACCCTTAGCAGGGTCTTCGAGGGCACGTGGGACCTCGCCCAACCAGTCTACATGTGCTTTGTGGACTTGGAGAAGGCGTTCGACCATGTCCCTTAGGGAGTTCTGTGGGGGGTGCTCCGGGAGTATGGGGTACCGAATCCCCTGATCCAGGCTATTCGGTCCCTATACCACTGATGTCAGAGTTTGGTTCACATTGCCGGCAGTAAGACTGAATCATTTCCAGTGAGAATGGGACTCTGCCAAGGCTGCCCTTTGTCACCGATTCTGTTCATAATTTTTATCCGCAGAACTTCTAGGCGCAGCCGAGGCACTGAGGGGCTTGGTAGCCTCAGTATTGCATCTCTGCTTTTTGCAGATGACGTGGTACTGTTGGCTTCTTCAAGCAGGGCTCTCCAACTCTCACTGGAGGGTTTCGCAGCAGAGTGAGAAGCGGTTGGGATGAAAATCAGCACCTCCAAATCTGAAACAATGGTCCTCAGTCGGAAAAGGGTGGAGTGCCTTCTCCGGGTCGGGGAGGAGATCTTGCCCCAAGTGGAGGAGTTGAAGTATCTCTAGGTCTTATTCACGAGCGAGGTCAGAAAGGAGCGGGAGATCGACAGGCAGATCGGTGCAGTGTCTGCTGTGATGCGTACTTTGTATCGGTCTGTCGTGGTAAAGAAGGAGCTGAGCCAAAAGGTGAAGCTCTCAATTCACTCGTCGATCTACGTTCCAACCCTCACCTATGGTCACGAGCTATGAGTCGTGACCGAAAGAATGAGGTCACGACCGAGATGGGTTTTCTCTGCAGGGTGTCCGGGCTCTCCCTTAGGGATAAGGTGAGAAGCTCGGTCATCCGGGAGGGGCTCAAAGTCGAGCTGCTTTCTCCTTCACGTCGAGAGGAGCCAGATAAAGTGGCTCGGCCATCTGATTAGGATGCCTCCTGGACGCCTCCCTGGTGAAGTGTTCCGGGCCTGTCCTACCGGCTAGAGGCCTTGGGGACGACCCTGGACACGTCTGGGCTTCACTGCTAAAGATGTTGCCCCCGCGACCCGACTCTGGATAAACAGTAGAAGATGGATGGATGAGTCTCAGTCAGTTATGGTACCCTGATGCCTAAATGTTTTTCCCAGGATGCGAAGGCAATGTCAGTCAAGGGATAATCAAGTCGTTCTTTATTCTGTTCATCGGATGTGTCATTGAAATAGTTTGACACTCCTGATAGTATTTTTACACTTCCAGGTAATGATATCAGTTGTCCAGTGCCTTCAACACTATCCAGCCCAACCTACTGGGGACAAACTGCAGCACGCTGGAGTGGACCGCCACCTCATATCATGGATTACAGATTAGCTCACAAACCAGCTGCAGTACGTGAGGGCACAGAGCTGTGAGTCGGACAGGCTTCTCTGCAGCACTGGGGCGCCGCAGGGGACTGTCCTGGCTCCATTCCTGTTCACCCTTTACACCTCGGACTTCAGCTACATCACTCCAACCTGCCACCTTCAGAAGTTCTCTGACGACTCCACGATCGTAGGCCTCATTACAGAAAGAGACGATCGGGAGTACAGGGGACTGACGGAGGACTTCGTGGACTGGTGCCTGCAGAATCACCTCCAGATCAACCCCGGGAAAACTAAGGAGTTGGTTCAGGATTTCTGCAGCAAACAGTCCTCACCTGCACCGATGAACATCCAGGGTACGGACATCGAGAGGGTGACCTCCTCCAAGTACCTGGGTGTTCTTCTCAACAATAAACTAGACTAATCTCCCAACACGGACGCCCTGATCAGAAAGGGACAGAGCTGGCTCTTCCTACTCGGGAAACTGAGGTCTTTTGGGGTTCAGCGGTCACTCCTTAAGACCTTCTATGACTCTGTGGTGGCTTCAGCCATCCATAATGGCATAGTCTGCTGGTCAGGCAGCATCTCAGCCCGGGACAGAGAGACACTGGACCGATTGGTCAGGAGGGCCAGTTCTGTCCTGGGCTGCTTCCTGGACACTCTGGAAGAGGTGGGCAACAGGAGGATGCTAGCTAAGCTAACAGCTATGATGGACAGACCCTCCCACGCCCTTCTGGCCACCCTGACAGCACTGGGCAGCTCCTTCAGCCAGAGACTGTTGCACCAGCACTGCAAGAGGGAGAGTTACCGCCACTCGTTGCTGCCGACTGCTGTCAGGCTGCTGAATTAACACATGTGAAAGCCTGGACTCACCTCCCATTCACCCATTGTAAATAGCACAGCCACCTTTTGCAGCATATATGCAGTTGCAAATATGCTTATATCATTTATTTTATATTTTATATTGCATTCTGTACTGTGTACAGTTCATTTTTTTTAAACATTTATTTTGTGCATGCAAATATTTCATGTTTTCTTTTTCAACTTCTTCCTTCCAATTTTGCTGCTGGAGATTGCGAATTTCTCCATTGTGAGACAAATAAAGGTTTTCTTATTCTTATTAAACCACCGGACCATATAAATATTTTGGTGATACATTTGTCTTGATATTCAATGTTCCGACTGTAGCACCGAGTATGAATACCAATGCTTAAGTTGCGAAAACAGAAGAAAAAAAAATCACTGAAATGAGCTACAGTTGACTGAGGGAAGCAAAAATTGAGCAAAGACTCATCTCTTGTATTCCCCTTTAAAGGACGAGGTGATCAAAAAGCCCCACCTGCTAACCCCTCCCCTTTCAGACATGGATCCAACCCTTACCTATTGCAGTGTAGAGGACTTGGTCACAACAACGCTGCCCAGATAGCTGAGATCAATCAAAAACAAAGCACGTAAGACTCCAGGAGCTATTAAAATCAACTTACCATACTGTCCCTAATTCATAATGATGAAAACATTGCGGAACATGAGAAGCGGACAGGCCCTGTGACACACTTGGCCCAACAACCTGCCCTTGGGAATGAGGTTGTCGTGAGGCAATTAAAGGGATCATTGAGAAAAGGGTTACAGAAACAGAAGGGACAGTTAGATTGGGAAAGGATCTGAAAAGGTGGAGGGGGAGTATTGGTAATGAAAACAGGTTACTCAGGCCGAGGATGGGCCGCAGGGCCTGCCAAGATGAACTCTTCGTAAAGCATCCCTCTGCATGACACAGGCATCCTCAAACGCTTGGATCTAGACATAACAATGGATATTTATCTGGGGATTCAATTTGATGAATATTAGGGAATTCCTCCTGTTCGGTGGAAGCAAGATAATGTATGATCTAAATGGAGACAAGGACCCTGAGCTGATGTCTGACGATCAACAGAATTTAATGGGAGTGTGGCAAAAAAATAAAAACTAAAAAAATCACTCCACTAGAAATAAAAAAAATATCGCTTGTCATCAATGATAGATTGAAGTTCATTAAGGTCAGACGTAAATTGTGGAGCAATACAGAGTATAGTTGATTGTTTTAAATTACGTTCACTTAAAGATTCAATGGATTGAGCATTTTGACTGCTCCTTAATACTGCTGTGACAAAATATTTTGATAGAATACCAAGGCAGCATTAATAGAAAGAAGTTTTAGAGTTGGTGAGCGACATATATAATATACATACATTGTATGTACAGCTTTCTATGTACATGATGTATGTAGAATAGGTAGGTACTGTTCTAAGAGGATTTTTTGTTGTTTTCAAATTCAAATTTCAACTGTTGCACGCTACATTAGGAAGCAAAATATTTAAGTGAGGTCACATTAAAAGCTTATGGGTTGGGCGGATGACTCAATCCCTACCTACATGGCTGATGCACCTACCCTGAAGCTGACAACTGGGATGGAGAAGGCTCGGATGGAAGGATCTCCTCCTCGGTCCGCCTGTGCGATGGCACCTGCCCAAATATGTTCCTGCTTTCCATGGGTGGCGATGGGGACTGGGAAGCTGGATAGCTGGTTGCAGATGAAGCAAAGGCCATGTGGGAACGATAGCTAGGGCTGGACCTTCTGCTACCCTGGCCTAGTGCAGGTGAGGAAGAAGGGGAAGATCTCCTTGAGAAGGTGACTGTGGATGGAGGTAGGAGGGTAATCTCAGACATCTCTGGGGGTATGGGAGTGTGAATAACGTTTGGACGTGGCCGGGGACGTACAACAATCTCAGGGGATCCCTCATGAGAACTAAAGGGACTTTGGGTGAGAGGGGAAAGTCGAGAAGGCTGGAGAACCACTTGATGCACACCAGAATCCATCCTACGAGCCTGTCTTGGACTGAAATGGGGGGTCGATTCAAACCATCGGGTATCCAGGCTACTGAGGGTGCTAGGTCTGATATGGGCCATTGGATCAGTGTAAGGCATAACTGGAACACCCATACCGTGGCTTGTACGTCTTAGCTGCCCTATTTGAGCCTCTTGCATAGCTAAATGCCTGGCTGGAGAGCCATGAGGCCTGGCTTTGCTGGGAGACTTGCTCGAGTAGCTCTGTGGTGCTTCGAGTGGTAATACAGATGGATAGGTGGGCATTGGGAGGGAGGAGGTCTGGAAAGCACTAAGGGGAAGAGCAGGTGGTGGGGGTGGATAGGGAGAATCATGGCGCAGATGCAAAGAGTGGTGAGGTGGAAAAATGAATTGGGGCCCCTCCACGGTTGAAAATGTAAAATCCATTCCCCGCCAAAATTCTGGTGAATGGGAGGAAGAACCTAGTGTCAGAGGATAAGGGAAGCCAGAGACAGCATATTGTGTGAAATCACCCTCCCCCATTTCTTCTGGAATCATGGGATAACCAAAGGGACTTTCAGTCACGTATGGAGGGGAGGACATGACAGAGCTCAGCGGACTAGTATCGGTCATGTAAAAAGGAGGAGGAGGATCATGATCCCCATGCGAGCCCAAGTAGCCATAGAAAGCCCTGTGATGGAGAGAGCCTCGAATCTGCCCCGTGGCCTGGAGTCGACTGCTCTCCATGATAGTCATACCTTCAAAGGGCTTCTGGAAACGGGGGCTATAGGCTGGAGGCTGGAGGTAGGATTCATGACTGGAGATGGGTGAAATCTGGTGAGGCCGAAGGGGGGCCATAACCGGTGGAAGAGGCCTAAGATCGTCATTCTCTTCATCCGACTGCCGAAATTCAGGATAGAGATCCGATTCTTCCACGAAAGGAAAACCCTCAATTCGGCGAGGCTTGACAGAAAACTCTGCATCAGTGGGATCGATGACAAAGCGCCCATCTGGACCGCGACTGATGAGTTCAATAGGTGTTGTTGCTTCAGTCTCTTGCTTAGAGATGGTGTATCTCTTGCTTGTTATTGCTCTTTTGGTCTTCTTATACAGAGACAACTCCTCCTTCTTTCCTGGACTTGAGGGTGGTTTCTTCCCAAGTTGGTCATGGCTATCCTCAGATGATTCTGATAGGGATGTCTTTGAGCGAATGCTTTCTGGACTCGCCTTTCCTGAAGATTGTCTGAAGAAGAAGAATATAATACATGTGAAAATGTAGTGCTGTCATCTGTCAAATTCGGCTGGAAAATTTAGAACCAGCCCCCTAAAAATACACAATTGGCCCACTGGTAAAACCAAGTTCAAGAGGAACATAGTTTATATGGGAAGTCTGTCAGATATTTGCTCATTTACTTCTTGTCAGAGTTACGGTATCTTTTTTTTTTTTTTTTTCTTTTCTGTGACGGATTCCTGAAGGGTACACAAAGAACAGAATCGCTCACGGATATACAATTCATGCATAAAAATGACAACAACAAATTTGTTTGTGAGCATTAATACAAGGAAATACCCTTTTCTCAAATTCATTATCGGAGACCAAGACTGTTGTTACTGTCCAAGATGTTAAAAATAAATAAATAAATGCATGATTCCAATCATTGAAAAATGTTAACTATCTGAAAGAAATTATGTTTCGATATATCGTGATTGTGTTGAATGTCATATTTCCACTTTATAATGATTGACTTTCTTACATAACCATTCTTGTGTGCACTTAAATGTTCTGTTGTAAAAGTATACAACTAAATAAAGTATGATAATTGTCATTTTTTACAATGCTGTGTTTGTAACGAGAATCTAGCTACCCCACCACAACTGTATGAAGTGTAACAGCTCGCCATACGCTCAAGAAAATTGTTTCTTGTAATGAACCTAATTGTCGGCAGCCTGAGAAAATCAGTTTTATTTTTGAGCAGATTTGCCAAATTGAAAGAAACTCCTCTGAACCATGTCTGACTGATGCAAACAAGTTGAAACTGAATCAGCTTCAAAAAGTTTGATGCACTTTAATATGAAATAAATCATATCAGATTATTTGATAAATCAAGGGAATATATGATGGAATAATTTTTTCTAAAAATATTCGAAGGTGACAATATGTTGGGTGTTAAATTAACTTTTTGATCACCGGCCAATGTGAGGAAGTTACCGGACAATTTCCACGAGCAAACTTTTTTTTTGTTTAGCTCCACTGTTTTCATCTACTTCCCTGACATTAAGTCTCTGTGTTTCTTGCGCTGGTTTCACTTTAGACAGTAGCATGAAATACCATCCGTCAAGCATAAGAAGTAGGCCTATTGGGCTACTTTGGCCTCCCGGACTCTGAAGGCCGCTGACAGCAATCGGCTGACCAAGTAGAAAACGGCTTTGGCAGTCACCGAGGTAAAAACTCAGGAATAGGAGGAATTCGGTGAGGCCATGGAAAATGACTTCTGGAGGGCTTCAAGGAAATTCTGGAGGGTGAAGGAGTGCACCATTAATATTGAGTATAGTCAAGACCTCAACTCAGGACGTTGTGAGTTTGTGGGGAGAATACTTTGAAGACCCCCTCAATTCCACCGACATGCCTTCCTTAGAGGAAGCAGATTCTGGGGACTCTGAGGTGGGTTCTCCTATCTCTGTGGTTAAAGTCACCGATGTGCTTAAAAGGCTCCTCGATGGCAAAGCCCCAGGGGTGGATGAGATCAGCCCGGAGTTCCTCAAGGCTCTGGATGTTGTGGGGTTGTCCTGGTTGACACACCTCTACAACATTTCGTGGACTTTGGGGACAGGTGCCTCCAGATTGGCCCACCGGAATGGTGGTGCACCTTTTTAAGAAGAGGAACTGGAGGGTGTATTCCAACTAGAGGAGGATCTCACTTCTCATCCTCCCTGGTAAGGTCTAATCAGGGGTGCTGGAGAATAGGGTCCATCAGGAAGTTGAATATCAGATTCGAGCGGAGCAGTGAGGTTTTAGTCCTGGTCGTAGAACAGTAGAACCGTTTACGCCCTCAGCAGAGTCAACAGTCTGTGGGAGTTCGCCTAACCAGTGTATGAGTATCAATATCAGTCTCCTGAGGCGATTCAGGCTATGTATGACTTGTGTCAGTGTTTGGTCCGGATTGCTGGCAATAAGTTAAATTCATTTCCAGTGAGAGCTGGACTCTACCATGGCTGCACTTTGTCACTTTGTCATTTGTTTCCCCAATTCCATGAGTATGACTTTAAGACATTATTAGAACAAGATGATTTGGGATGATTTCTTGAAACATAAAACAACTGTGTACTTTTTTTTTCCACTTGACTCTAGATAAACAGACAAAATGAAAGTTGCAGTGCAAGATATTTTCATCAAGAATAAATATCCTCTATGTTTAACTGAGGAAAAACCACAAACAGTATTGTTGTTGCCTTGTGGGTGTATTCGACTCAGAACATGCAGCTGGGTCAAATACTTGGACTGGGAATCAAACAAAGGTGCCAGGGTGAACAGAGTGCAATTTTTAAGGGTGACTGGACTGTTTGGCACTCACTCGGCACTGGAAAATTTGGGTTTGTACCGACTTGCAGCCAGCCCCTCCCAATAATGCTCAATACTGGGAATGAGGCTAATTGGACTCCTGTAAAATTGGGGGAGATCAGAGAGTAAGGCGGTATAAGGGTGACAAGGAGTGCTTGGAAAATACAGCAGCCTGGTACTGGTATATACAGGAGTTAGGAAATGCTAGATGGGATGAAGAAATGTCAAATCACAGAGAATGGAGAGTAACAAAGGTCCTCTAATATTAGGGTAACTGGAACTTGAGGATAAGAGCAAACGAGAAAGTAATTGTTGGTCCATCACGTATAAATTACCGTGGATGTTTAATATGTGACAAAAAAAAAACAAATAAAAAAACAACACTACCCCTCCAAAAGTACTGGAACAGTGATGTCAATTTCTATCTTTTGACTGTAAACTAAAAACATTTGGTTTCTCAAAAGACGAATATTAGACATATCAACTCTGCAGGTTTTATTCCCAGGTGTTTACATCTGGATCAGATGCTTAGCTCGAAAAAAGCAGACAACTTAATATTGAGTTATCCTGAACAATATATACAATATTATGGCCACTGCCAGTGACCTATTGATGTTAGTAACAAAAAGTTTGCATTAATTTCTTAAATGTGCTTTTTCATTGTCTGACCTTTCAATTATTGTTTCTATTTGGGGATGACTTACTTCAGTAAGCCAGCTAAAGTTCAAGTCGCTTATCTTGGCCAGTCTAAAATATTACATTTCTTGTCCCTCATGTACGCCGTTGTTGTTGTTTTTTTTTTTAAATCATCATTTTGGTGGCATCTCCCCCATCTCCATCCAAATGTTTCTGGAGACCTCTGAGTTAATTTGCAGTCCAACAGTTCATAATTTTTCTGTTTTTAATCCCAGAAATTTTACGCCTGTTTCTGTAAATTCCAGCCTTTCTGACCTAGCTATTCTTCTTGCTAACAGATGGGTTGCCTCTTCTCTCCTTTTGGTCATGTTCCTCGAGTTCATTGCTTTCTTTAAAGCTATCAAAATGTTTCTTTCAATACCTGCTGCTATTTTCCCCTCCCGGGTTTACCCACATCATTGCCAAAAGGTTGTATTGGTTATAATTTTTGACACACATCTAAAATAATGATTGACTGAACATTTTCCACTAATAAAAATGCACAAAACGTTATGGCTTTGTTCGTTTGTTTTTTAACATGAAATTGTTATTAGAAAAACAGGGAGGATGACAGTGCTGCCGTTAAAAACGATAAAAAATATGTTGCTAGAATTTTTTTTTTGGGGCGGGGGGGACAGCAGCATATAAACTCAAAATACAGTCTGTCACGTCACTGCCCTCAGCTTTGACCAAAAATTTCCACCATGAAGGAAGCATGAAAAACAAGGCACTAAATGCAGAGTGGACTCTGGTAAATCTGAAATTACGCTGCAGAACCCATTCGTAGTGATAAAGGGAGACGTCAACCTCCTCACTAAGACCCAGGTGGGTCATGACCTTTAGATGGCCAATCCAAAAGGTCTCCCTGCGGAGAAGTTGTAAATGTTTGCTATGGAATAACTTCAATGACCATGGCTCTAAAAAAGTTCTGTGCCATATTTTGTGTTTATATGCTGCTGTTTTCCCCAAAATAACATTATACACAGCAGATGTTTCATATTTTACTTGGTCTGTCCATAACTGACATTTCAATATATTATTTCAATAAAATCTACCTGCACTATGGCATCTGATAGCCATTGCTCTTCAAAAAATGTATCACTGATGACATTCCACACTGTTTGATGAAGCTGTGTATTTTTTTATTTTTTGTCCAGTGTGGTTCGTTTCATTGTTTAACCCGCAATAATCACAAGTTTTTGTTTGCACTGTGGTTGAGAGAGGAAAGTAATTTCATCTGTGCTGTATGTTGCACATATTTGACAATAAAACTGACTTGACTTGACTTGTTCATTGGATCTTTTCTCCGGTCATCTGTTTGTGTATGTAGTGTAATGTGCAATGCATGCATTTTTTTCCCCTCAGGATGGCATCGATCACGTGATACTGTGACATGACTGCTTTTTAATTTAAATGTGCTGCACTCCTGTGATGCCTCATAAGTCCTGATGAAGACTCTTTGAGGCGAAACGCATGGGCAATAAACTCCTCTATATTAGAGTGCCTCAGCTTGTCCATGCATTTTAAGTGTGCTGTCATCATTTAATTCAGTTAAAAGCATGACTGAAGCCAGTTTAGCCCATTCTTTTTGGTTATCTTGGGAGGTGGTATGTTTATTTTTTCAAAAAATGTAACCTTAAGGTACTGAATGGAACTGAATGGCTAGAACTCAATGAACTGAGATAGAAGCGCTCCAAACGTTGGTGGGATAGTCCCATATTGTCGTGTTTGTTGCAGTTTTTCCAGGTTGTTCAAAATACTCGTATTTGTTACATTTTGTGATGTCTTTTTTTAATATGATGGTCAATTTTGAATTTCCCACATCATTAATTGAAATAATCTCTCCCTATTATTGCAAACCTTTTGGGTTTGCAATAATAGTAAAATAACTTCATATGGGCGACAAATAAATTACTGATTCATTGTGCTCTGCTAAAGGGCACGTCCAAGCCAAAAACTTCAAGCGGGGTTGATTTCATGCCCTAGTCGAGCCCTGGATGCTGTTTTCCAAGTTCTGTGTCCAATCCAGAGTTTTCAGTCCATCCATTTTCCAATCCGCTTTATCCTCACAAGGGTCGCGGGGGGTGCTGGAGCCGATCCCAGCTGTCCTCAGGCAGTAGGCGGGGACACTATGAACCGGTTAGCAGCCAATCGCAGGGCACACACAGATGAACAACCATCCACGCTCACACCTCGGGACAATTTGGAGTGTTGAATCAGCCTGTCATGCACGTTTTTGGAATGTGGGAGGAAACCCGAGAAAACCCACACAGAACTTGCAAACTCCACACAGGGAGGCCAGAGCCGGGATCGAACCCATGACCTCTGCATTGTGAGGTCAACGCGCTAACCAGTCGACCACCGGGCCGCCTCCAGAGTTTTCAGTCTCACTATTCAAATCCTAGTGGAAGGCGATCAGATTTATATTCATAGTTACTTAATACCACTTTATTTCACATTGATTCCCACTTGGAAGTAAAGAGAGTGATCTTTTTTTTTTTTTTAATCATCCCTGTATGCTCTGATTGCAATTCACTTTAAATATCCAGATTTAGGTTTTATGGGTGGTAAAAGGAGATGTAGGATGACTGTGATTTGTCTTGGGAACCTCTGCTACAATGATCAATGTTTCGCTTTGCGTTCTACTCTGATGGGCCTGACAGTTGAAAAAAAAAAAAAAACATACCGTGTTTGTACAATTAAAACAAGTTTTAAAATTATGGTAAGATTAGGGTAGTCAACAATTATTGTTTCAATAGAGTTCTGTGTACTTACGGCGTGGCCATACTTTTTCTTAAGTGGGTAATGGAAAGAGGCGGATCTGAAAGAAAACAAATTTGGCAAATTTTACTGGTTCATATGTCATGACTTTTAACAAATCAATCACTGAAGAAGAAATCATGGAAGAAAGCACACTCCTTTTGATGCTGGTCTCTCTTTAAGATGTAAAAATGTATCTAAAATCTGTATCACACTAAGCGGCAAAGGTTTTAAGTGAACATATTCAAAATTTCTTGGCGACGAGAAAACCTTTTTGCAACCATTAAAACATTTTGCGAATGTTTGTGACCTTGAACAGACCCAGAAGAAAAATCAACATTCACTACCATCATAGACGCTCACAAACCTTCGCAGCAAAAGGGATATGATCTTAAATCAATCAACCCAGTATATTTACATTTATCAGAGATGAAAGTTGACTTTTCTGAAAATTCCGGGAAAAAAAAAATGTGTGTATATATA